GTGAATGCCATAGAAAAAAGTTCCCCAGAAGGGGGCACAAGCAAGGTCAGAGACAGAAGTTTCTAGAAGGCTGAGATGGACTTTGTGGGATGAATTTTGGCAGGCAGAAATGAGTTTGGGATCTGGGGGGAGGGGGCGTGAGTGCTATTGCATGGACCAGACTTGCTCAAGCAAAAGTCTGGAGAAAGGAAGTGTGGTGGGATTTAGAAAGCCAAGACTGAATTTGGTCTGGAAGCTCAGTGTTCTACCAACCTCAACACACCCTCTGCAGAAAAGAAAAAAGTTCTCCAGAGCCCAAACCAAGCAGGAGGTTTAAACGGCAGAGTAGTCCAATGCAAGGGAATGATCAGTCATCTGGGATTACATATATTTGGATGAATCTGGACTCTTCTGTGGTGAAGAACTGCAATCTTGGCCAAGTTACCCAACTTTTCTAAGCCGTGGCTTCCTTTACTGCAAAGCAGTACTTGCTTCACAGGGCAGGTGAAAAGATGGAGTGAGATTTAGGTCGTCACTGCAAGTGCCTGTCTACCAAACCATGGCTATTCTTTGTGCTAACATAATGGTAAAATCCTGCCCTCGTGCATAAGTTCCTTGAGGGATGCTCAGGCCATGTCTGTTTCCGCTTGTTTCTTCTGGAACTACCTCTCCATGAGGAGGAATGTCAAGACCTTCTCACTTGTAGATAGAGATTTCATGAAATTGCCCCATTTCTTTCCTCTGCCTCTTTTCCAACATTCTTTTCAGGTCCAAGGAAAGACCTGATTCTCCATTGTCAAGTTAAGTGGAGGTGACTTCCAGTTCCTCTCCACTCCTGACATTTTAGTGCCAGCAGACCAGCTCAAAGCTGAGCATGTAGCTAAACCCTGGCTGGGGGAACTTGTTCATCTCCCATGCCTGGTCCTTGCTGAGTTCCCTGGGTGCACGGAGTGAGGGCAGTAGACAACGACAGCCCACTGAGAATTGCAGACCTCTTGGCCCAACGGAATTCTGTCTCTCCTGGTTTGCTTTCTGTTGCTGTGATAAACACCATGGCTAAAAGCAACATGAGGAGGAAAGGGTTTATTTGAGCATACATTTCCATGGCACAGTCCATCGTCCAGGGAAGCTGAGGCAGGAATTTGGAGGCAGGAACTGAAGTGGAGATTAGAGAGGAAGAAGTCTGATTACTGCTTTTTCCCTCCCTAGAGACAGGGTTTCTCTGTGTATCTCTGGCTGTCCTGGAACTCACTCTGTAGACCAGGCTGGCCTTGAACCCACAGAGATTCACCTGCTTCTGCCTCCTGAGTACTGGGATTTACTGTTTGCTTTTTATGACTTGCTCCGCTTGCTTATTGTACAACACAGCACAACTTTCCCAGGAGCGGTACCATCTACAGTGGTCCAGTCTTCCCACATCAAACACTAATCAAGAAAATGGCCCTCAAACACACTCAGAAGCCAAACTGATGGAGAGACAATACCTCGGTTAAGGTTCCCTCTTTTCAGATGACAGTCCTTTCAGTTTTTGTCAGGTTGATAAAACAGTACGCTGTTCAAATACCTGAACTAAGACACTTAGCCAAAGTCTAGCATAGTGTCCAGCATCTGAAGGCTGTGTCCCTGGGGTGGTCCCAGCCACCCTTGAAGTGCCTTCTTGGGAAAACTCAGTGCTGCTTGGAAACTTGCTTTGTGTTCCAGTCTGTGCGTGATAACAGGCTGTGTCCTCTCCATAGGCCACCTACTACAAAGATCTAACAGCTAGACGGGTGTATCTCTTTTAAGCAGAGCATGTCTCAAGGACCTGAGAGCCCTTCCTTTGAAAGGACCACATAGCCTATGTGGTACCTCAGAGGTGGTGTTAAGGTCTTGAGTGTCTAGGATTGGTAGGATCCAGAATAAACAAGGGAAAAAAATCACTTTTGGACTCAGCCACCTTGCCTGAATTGGGCTCAGGCTCCTGTGGGGCTTTCATGACTACTGTCTTTATCCTGCTGCTACTCACATTACCTCATCCCTGCCCTTGGCTACCAGGGAGCTCCATTCTTACTCATGGGCCCACAGGGGGTCTTCCGCAGTTGATGGAAACTGGGTGACAATGACATGTTACCCAAACTGGACTCTCATGCTCAAATAAAGGCTTAATCAATAATGTGCTTGCTACCTGAATTCAATCTGTAGCACCCAAGTAAAGAGCCGGGAGTGGCTGTACTCACAACTTCTGTGCTTCAGAGATGAGGCAGGGAGTGTCTTTAGAGCTAGCTAACAGCCTTGCTGAATAGGTGAGCCCCAAATCTTAGTGGGAGACCCCATCTCAAGGAACAAGGTGGATGGCTTCTGAGTAACACCTAAGGATTTCCTCTGGCTTCCACATGCTCACGTATAACATATGTATTCAAACACAATGGTATATACCATCCCCTTCAAAATTTCTTGAAAGAAAAATATTACAAATAAAAACCTTTGAACTCTCAAATTTTTAGTTCAGCCATTAGGATGGGGCAGTTGGTTAGAGCTTGCATCCATGGCTGGCACCAAGGCCCTACAGTACCCCTTGTTATTTTTAAAGATGTATTTTTATGTGGATGTATGAATGTTTTGCCTGAATATATTTATGTGCCACTTGAATACCTGGTGCCTGGTGAGGTTGGAAGAAGGCACCAGATCCCCTAGAATTGGAGTTTCAGATGGCTGTGAGCCACCATGTGTGTACTGGGTCTGAACCCAGGTTCTCTGCAAGAGCAGTAACTGCTCTTAATGGTTGTACGGTCTCGAGGACTGCATTGCTGATTTTTGATTCCCCTAATTTATGGACATTTGCTGTAGAAAAAGGGAGGTCACTTTAGGTGTGACACACATCCATGATGTGAGCTGGCTGGTGAGGAGATCAAGTCTGGTAGATCTTTAGGTTGTCATAGGACCCCCCCAACACACACACACCCATTGCTCTTTTCTCTAAGTCTTCATTCATTCTCTTCCACCTCCTACTGGTAGGGCAGGGGTATTTCTGGTGACAGCCTAAATACCCAGAAGGAAAGGAGGGGTGGGGGGCCTGGACTCAGGGCTGGTACCTAGCTTAGAAAGGTGGGATACAAAGCCAGACCTGGACTGGGTACGGGGCACTTATGGGATGGGGACTGGAGACTCCCACTGTAAGCTCTTCAAAAGCCTTTGAATTCTGACTCTAACAATGGCAATCCCATCCCTCCTTGGACTCCATCGTCCATCTTCAGTGCAAGTAGGCTGAATCTCACCTAGCCCCTTGGTGTCCTGCCAAGGTTAACCTCAGGCAAGCTGGCTTCTCAAAAAAGTATTTCTGTATGCCTGCTGCTGGCATATTGTCTCCGTGCTAGGAGCATACACAGTGGCAGTCTTGTTCTGACTCAAGTCCCATCTGTAGACACTGCCTCCTGTAACTTCTTTCAGCCCACACCTGTGTATCATCCTCTTCCTGGAGAGATGATACTGGGCCAGCATTTTATGCTTACCTATTCTCCCTCTGCCCACACCTTAGCTCCTGTGAGCTTCCTCTGTTGCAAGCCTGATCATGACAGTCTTCTTGGAGCTGACAGTATTAGTGTTTACTCACATCCTATGGGTGCTCTTCTATTTTGGGTCCTGCTACCTTCTCCAGTATGCTTTTCGCCACTGACACCTGTCACTCTTGGAGAACCACCCTTTGCTCTGGGAGGTGGCCCTGAATTGTCAGGCAATCAGTTCTGTAGGAGGCAACTCATTCAGGTCCCAAGAAGAAGGGTGAGTGTGCCAGCACTGCCGGCTGCTTTTCTCACAGTTCCACTGGGCTGTCTGCCTGTCCTGGGCAGAGACAGCCCAGTGGAGAGAGCAGCAAGTATTGATGGACACATGGTGAAAGAGACTGAGTTGGGGGGGAGACCCTAACCCTAGTATGAGAAATGGGTCACACGAGGAAAGGTAGGGACAGTTCTGAAGGAAAGAGCCTGATAGGGACCGAAACCCTTTTAGAACCTATAAACTTGATTTTTTATTTTATTTTTAGAGACAGGAGCTCACTGTATACTGGATTGGCCTAGACTATCTGTGTAGACCAGGCTGGCCTCAAATTTACAGATTCACCCATCTCTGCCTCTTGAGTGCTGGGATTAAAAGTGCCACATACCATGCCTGGCCTCACTTTTAAATATGTATGTATGTATGTATGTATGTATGTATGTATGTATGTATAGACAGGGTCTGACTGTGGAGCCTTGGCTGTCCTGGAACTCATTCTGTAGACCAGGCTGCCCAGAACTCACAGAGACCCTCCGATTTCCACTTCCCCAGTGCTGGGATTAAAGGCATACACCACCACACATGGCTAAAGTTTTTAATTTTTAAAAATTTATGCATGAGAGGACCTGGTATGTATTTCCATGTGCATGTGAATTCAGGCACACACCCCTGTGATGGTCAATGCTGGGTGTTGGCGCTCACCTTCTACCTTGTTTAGACAGGGTCTGTAGCTATTCATCATTGTGAACACCTGGCTGGCTGGCTGGAGAGTGTCCAGGGTTTCTTCCACCTGTGTCCCCTAATCCACACAGGCATACTGACACTGCATTCACTTTTGTAAGAATATGGTTTTTTCCACCCGCCACCAAATAATACACAGAGACTCTGTATTTGATACAACACTGTTGGCCCGGTTACTTGTTTTTTATCGGCTAGCTCTGTCTTAAGTATTAACCCATTTTTGTTGATCTATGTTTTTTTCTTACCGGGGAGCCAGCGGCATACTGTTTTCTTTAGACTCTCCATCTTGACTCCTTCTTTCTACTTTCTATTTCCTCCTTGTCTCTTAGTCCCTCCTATTTTTCTTTCCTATTGGCCAACAGTACTTTATTATTAACCAGTATGAGAAACATATACAGAATGACATCTCCCATCACACTTTTACACAGTTTCTGGGATTTGAACCCAGGTCTTCAGGCTTACTCAGCAAGAGCTGTGTGCACTGAGTCATCTCAGCCTGAGAACCTATACATTTTTACATCTTTGAATCTTTCTCTCAAATATTTACCACTTAATTTTAATTTTATCAGCTTCTATTTATAAGCACTTTTCAATATTGAAGCAAAATATTAAGCTGCAGGAACAGGGAAAACCAAGGCATAAAGAACCGACCAGGCACCCAGAAGCCACCTTCTCTTCATAGGAGGACATGGGTATGTGAGAAGCTGCTTTGTTCCACTGAGGCAGCCCAGCCACCTGAGCCTCAATGAGAAGAGAACCCAGAAGGGCTGAGATCTATCAGGCCAGGAGGTCAGAATTTGCTGGTGTAGAGGGTGATAACCCATTTGGGCACACGGAGGAAGCCAGGCAGGAAGGAGGTCAGCCATCCCAGGTTGGAGACATGTGAAAGAACATAGCCCAAAGAAAAGTAGTCCTGGACAGGGCGGCCTGGGGACAACAGAAGGACAATTAGACCCTTATTTCCTGCTCCTCAGACATTCCAACTCTTGTTGAAAACTTGAGGTTTAGGGGTAGCGGATGGAGTCAACAGGTAAAGCCGGCCCAGGGTGAGTACTTACCGTCTACATCCTGAAGGCCATAGCGCTGAGCAAGGTCACAGGATGGCAGCACCTTCCCACTCAGGTTCAGGATCTTGGGGTCTGTGGGCACACATATGCTTAGAGATGGCAGGCACTGGAAGTGGCGTGGAGTGACAGTTTGGCTGATTGGGACAGGGCACCACTGAGGCATGCATTGCGCCCCGAGTAGCGGCTCTGTGTTCATACAAAGGTTCTTGGCCACTTCCCTGCCGCCAGCTCAGAAGCCTCACAAACCTCAAACCAGGAATTCTGACCCTTTGAGCCTCCAAAAGGCAGAAATGACAAGAATGTCCAATCATCTCCCAAACCAAAATTAGGAACTGGCTGTCAGTGCCCAAAAGATACCCTTTGTAACCCAGTGTCTTCACCTGTTGCCAAGGCCACCACACACTTGCCACTCATCTCTGGGCTTTCTGCCTTTGAGAAATTTGATTTGACCTAAACAAACAAACAAACAAACAAACAAACTGGGTTGAAAAGTTAGGAGTGAGTTTCCAAGAGCACTGCCTGTGGCATCCCTACTCTCACCTTCTGCCCAGAGGGCCATACATCTCAGCAGGACTCACAGGCCCATGTCTTAGAAGACACCAGAGCTACCTTCCCATGTTCCTGTGAGCCCTACCCCTGCCCCAGAGCCAGCTGCCTCACCTAAATGGAAGGATCAGATGGTTCCAAACAGTGCCTGGATCTTCTAGGGTAGGCCACGGCAAGGCCAAGACGTGAGCTTTGGTGTCAGACAGCCTTTCTTGTTGTGACATGTACCGTGGAACGCGTTCCTTTCCTTCCTTCCTTTCATTTTTCATTGCTAGGGGCTGAGCTGATGCCAGCAACACCTAAGTAAATGCTTTACCGTCTAGCTACACTTCCAGCCAGGCTCAGTTTCTTAACTTCTCTGGGTTTCTGTTTCACTATCTATAAAATGGAGTTATTAACTGCTTTACAAGATTCAAATGTGTGTATACGCTCAGCCTGTGTCTGCCCTAGTAAGCACCTGATGAGTTGTCTTTTTAGCCAGAGTCTCACTATATGGCCCTGGATGGCCCAGAACTCAGTCAGGTTAGCCTTGCAGTCACACAGATGCCCTTGCCTTTGCCTCCTGAGTGCTGGGATTTCAGGCGGACTGCAACCATGGGGAGTGCTTACAACTGCTACTGTCTGCAGAGACTGCCTTTGGTTCTCTACTTGCCCTGCCCTTCCTTTGCCAACCTTCTTAAACACAGGGTCCTCAGGTTGATCCTCTTTTGCCATAAATTCCTTCACCATTTCCGTTTGCACCATCCCTGGCCACAGAGATACGTAGCTGACTCCATGACGCCGTAGCTCATGGGCACAGTCAGCAGCCAGTCTGTCACACTGGAAGGACAGAAGGTAGAATGAGAACCTGGACACCTGCCCAGCTCACCTTCCTCTTCTGCTCTCTGAGTCCAAGAGGCTATCCCAGGCCTCCATCCTTCTCGAGATCCCTGATATTTCTGGTGCCCACCTTCCCACAGCTGATACCTACTCTGGCAGATAGAGGGAGGTCCAGGCAAAGGGACTGTCAGAGGGTAGAGCAGAGAGAGGTGAAGGTCACGAGTCTTACTATCTGACAACTAGGAATAGTGACTACCAACACCACTGTATACCTCCCCAGGTCCTGTGCCCTGGTCCTTACCGCAGCTTTGCCCACACCATAAGGGACATTGAACATATGCTGCAGCCCCCCAGCAGAGGAGACAACCACGATGAGCCCTTTGCCAGCTGGTACCATCAGCCGTGCTCCATACACAGAGCACAAGTAGTGGCCTCTAGAAGGGGGGCAGAGAAGGAGAAGGGATGAATTGTGTGAAGGCTGGGTCACTGCTTCCTGAGCCCTCAGCAGCTGTTGTCAGCACAGGAGGCTGCATAGCAGCAGTTGAAGACCTGGGGAACTAGGCATAGGCCAGTCCAAGGAGAAAACTTATACAATTAATGGCAGATGAGAAAGGGCCACCTACACATGACAAACATAATGGAATGGGCACCTGTACTGTTAACAAAATAGTTCAGGGGCAAATTAAGCCATATATCTGGTCAGCAGGGTTAATGGGACAAACCTATAATCTCAGCACGCTGGAGGTGAAGACAGCAGAATAGGGAATTCAAGGACATCCTTGGCAACACAATGAGTTTGATGCCAGCCTGGGCTAGATGAGACCCTTTTAAAAAACAACAACAACCAACACACACACACAAACCAAATCAGCCAGTCAATAAATGAGCAAATGACCTGAATAGAAAGTTCTCAAGAAATTCAAATGGCTAAATAAATACCTGAAAAATGTTCAATAACCATAGCCAATGGAGGAACATAAATTAAAATTACTTTGACATTCCATCTCATTCTAGCCAAGAGTGGCTATCATCAGGAAAATAATTCATAAGTACTGGTGATGATGTGGGGGAAGAGAAACCCTTATACTCTCTGGTAAGAAAGTAAATATGTGCGCTGCTACTACAGAAGTCAGTATGAGGATTTTTCAATAACAGAAAACAGAAAACAACCCAGTTATCCTATACTTGGGTAGGACTCCAAGCCAACAAACCACAGAGATATTTGCATTTCTACAGCTGACCTATTCACAACAGTTTGGACATGTAACCAACATAGATGTCCATCAACTGAGGGGATAAAAAATGTGGTACATAAACAAAATGGAATTTTGTTCAGCTGTCAAGAAAAATGAAACCATGACATTTGCAGGAAAATGTATAACTAGAAAGCATAACTATTGTTATTATTTTTGAGACAGGGTCTCTCTACATAGCCCTGAATGTCCTGATACTCACAGGTAGACCAGGCTGGCCTCAAACTCAGAGATCCACTTGCCTCTGTCTCCCGAGTCCTGGGATTAAAGTCATGCACCACATCAGGCACTGGAAACCATTATGTTAAACAAGCGAGACTCAGACAAATACCATGGGTACAACATATTTGGATCCTAGGTTTAAAATTACGTGTGTGTGTGTGTGTGTGTGTGTGTGTGTGTGTGTGTGTGTGTTATATAAGTGTGCATGTTTATTTGTAGGCAGAAGTGTTAAGAGGGAAGAAGCAGTCTAAGGGAGGTGGGAAATAGAGAGGGTAACAGAAAACAATAGGACTAACTGGGGAAGAGAGAATTAGTGGAAAAGGTTGAGGAATGGAGAAGGCAGTGAGATAAGAGTGAGTGAGAACCAAGTATAATGTACATATGACGATGAAGAGACAAGACCTGACATGAGCACATACATTGTACATTTAGTAATATGTAAGTAAAACCCTTATGTCCTACTTCACAAAGGCTAACAAAGCCTTTGTGTCTGGCTCTGAGAGAAAATGTTTCAGCAAAGCCTCTGCTATGTTTGAATTAATGAGTAGAGGCCGAGAATTTTTTTTTTTCCCCAGACAGGGTTTCTCTGTAGCTTTGGAGGCTGTCCTGGTACTCACTCTGTAGACCAGGCTGGCCTCAAACTCACAGAGATCCTCCTGCCTCTGCCTCCCAAATGCTGGGACTAAAGGCGTATGCCACCACCACCTGGTTCTGAGAAATTGTCCTGAGACTGTTTAACACTCGAGGAGTGGTTCTCAGAAGAGTCTGCACTTGCTGCTACATGAGAGCTTGCAGCTGCATCAACATTTGTCCTAAGATGTTCCTGGCAGACCCAGAATTTTATGTTTGATTATGGCTGCCACAGTCAAAAGGGCCTGAGATTTGTGTGGGTTGTCTGCTCTCAGGGCAGTAAGAGCAAGATGGCTTTGGTAGCTGGAACCTCTCCCAGCTCCAATTAACCTTGCATATGTTTGAATAAAGTAACAGGTGAGCTAGGGGCATGTCAGTCTTTTCCAAGGTTGTACCCCTCAGCTCCTCTGGAAAATGAAGGCTTAGTATCTTGGTGAGCTTCTCTCTGGACTTCGGCACCTATGGCCCAACATCAAACAATACTGCATTAATTAGTCCATCCTTCTAACCATTTTTAAAACCATAGCCTATGGGCTGCGTGCAATATTGAGAGAATACTTCCTTCCAGCACTTGTATTTGGATAAGCAAAGACAGAGTTGGAACAAGGCTGAGATCTTGTTGGAAGAAACTGAGTTGGTCAGTGGTGGTGCACGCCTTTAATCCCAGCACTCAGGAGGTAAAGGCAGGTGAATCTCTGAGTTTGAGGACAGTCTGAGTTCTCGGACAACCAGGGATACACAGAGAAAGAAAGAGAGAGAAAGAGGGAGGGAGAAAGTGGGGGAGGGAGGGAAGGAAGGAAAAGCATGAAAAAAGAAAGAAGGAAAGGAAAAAAAAGACAGACAGACAAACTGAGACAAAGCAAAAGTTGACATTCCCAGTGTTATGCAACTTGAGGGGAATCTTGGCAGATCCCATGACTGGACAAATATGACAGGCAGATGACAGGTTACTTGGGAAGCTTTATTGTGGGAAGGGAAGGGAGAGAGGTGGGAGAGAAAGAGAAGCAGAGAAAGACCTGCCTCCTCAGAGAAACATCAGAGAGAGTGAGACCAGGCAGAGCTTGTTTCTTAAAGGGACCTTTGCACCTGTGTACAGAGCCAGGGTACTGCCTGCCATGCATGCAGGGGTGACTCCTCTGCCAGGTCCCCAAGAGTGGGGCCAGGCTTGCCTGGATGATAATACCCACACTGGCTAAGATAACTCATAGGTAAAAGATGCTTCCTATGCAAGCTGGTCAAGCCCTGGAACCCAGAGAAAGATGCAGAGAGAGAACTGACTCTCTGGAGTTGTCACTGATCTCTGCATACACCATGGTGGGCGCACACACTGCCTCCCCCCTCTTTCCCTCCCCCAGAAAAAGTTGACATTCTTAGATGCAAGCCCACAGGCATGAAACTTCTCCAGAAATAAATAGGACAAATGGAATAAAAAGAGATGAAGGAGATGGGGAAGCCAGAGGGTAAAGAAGTCCTTTTTAAAAGGCACTGGGCCTGGGGCGGCCTAAATGAGAGGAACCTAGGCTCCAGCAGTGAAGCACATACCTGAGTCCAACATTGTTTATATCATCCCAAATGGAGGCAGGTATTTCCCAGAATGACTGATTGATGGTGTTCAGGATTGCCTAGAAGACATAGGGAAGGTGACTGGGTAATCCGAAGGCAGGATGGTACAAAGGGTTGGATGACGGGACAACAGATGGAGATAAAGACTCAAGGATGGGGTTTGGGTGAGTGTGGAATGTCCAGGTGGATCCAGTTCAAAGGTTACCTGGACACCAGCAAAGGCATTATTGACCAGCACATCTAGCCGTCCCTGCTGTTCCCGATCAACTCGCTCAAATAGGCTTTTCACTTCACTCTCCTGGCTTGAATCACACACCACTGGCACACACCGGCCCCCGAGGGACTGTGCCTGGAGAGGGACAGGGAGTATGAGTTCACAGTAGTGCCATTTTCTTAACTAAAGTGAGTTTAGGAACTGAGAAGACAGGACTCAGCTGGGAAAACATGGCATGCAATGGCTCCCTCTGGTGTCTGTTTTAGAAATTTCACCACAGTAGGCCCTCCCGCAAAAGATCAAGCAAGGTGGATGGATCTTAAGGATTAAAACCAGCATTTACTGAGGCCTGTCATATACAAGGCCTTAGTAAATACTCTGCAACTCCAGGGTAAGAGACAAGGCATGGCAGCCACTCCTAGAAACAAGTGACTATCCTCTTTTTTCTTTCCAACTCTCATACTTCCCTTTCTACCACTCCCTCAGAATTCTTACTCAACCAATGCTCTGGCTTGGTAACTGGAATATCAAAGCTATCAGGCATAAACTATTGCCATTTCCTATTCTGCCTAGCTTCCCAAAAGTGTACTCCTCACCAACTTCAGAGGAAGAAGAGCACCCTTTCTCCAGAGGCAAGTTCAGGGTCCTACCCTATCATTTCAGTATTAGCTCTTTAAAACACATGCACTTAAAACAATCTTCTAGGGGCTGTAGAGATGGCTCAGTGGTTAAGAGCACTGACTGCTCTCCCAGAAGACTTGCTTCAATTCTCAGCACCCACATGGCTGCTCACAACTACTCATAACTCCAGTTCCAGGGGGATCTGGCACCCTCACACAGACATACATACAGGCAAAATAAGGCCTTAGGAAATACTCTGCAACTCCAGGGTAAATACCAATACACATTAAAAACAAAAACCCTCAAGAACTATTTCTCTTAAGCTACTTGTGGTGGTACACACCTTTAATCCCAGCACCCAAGAGATCTCTGTGAGTTTGAGGACACCCTGGTCTACATAGCAAGTTTCAGGTCAGCCTGTCTAAAGACATAATTATCTTTATCATCTAGATGCCCCTCCAATGCTCCTAGGGCAAGCATTCTGTGCACATATACATCGCAGTGAGTGATTTCTATATCTGACTTCCTGTTAGACTTATTTTGTAAGAGCGGAAATTGCATTTTATCATTTGGGTACTTGAGTATTGTTTTTATTGGAATCCAGTGAAGAAGTAAACTCTTATCGGGATGTGGTGGCACTGACCTTTAATCCCAGAATTCAGGAGACAGAGGCAAGTGATCTATGTGAGTTCAAGGCCAGCATGGGTCTACACAGTGAGTTCCTGGAAAAAAAAAAAAAAAAAAGAAGTAAACACAGTTCAGCAAGTTTTGCCTAAATCAAAGGAAGTCACTGGTCCAAAGTTTTTTCTTTGCAAAACCTGGAACTCTCAAACAGAAAGACTTTTTTTTTCATTAAACTCCCTTGCAAAAAAAATTCAACCCTACACTTTGTTCTCTGTAAATATTAATGATTTGTTGTGGGGGTATCATGGTCAAGCAAGTGATAAGTAGTAATCAGAAAGATGAATTCAGGTGTTCACTCACCTCCTGGGCAGTAGCTCTAAGGGTGTCCAGATTGCGGCCAGTGATGTACACTGTGGCACCTGCTTTGCATAGCTGTAGGGCAATGCCACGGCCAATACCCCTGGAGGCACCAGTTACCACACACACTTGGCCCTTCATAGGCGCTACCATGACTCACATCAAAGGGGTATCTGTGGAGTAAAGAGTCGCTTTGAAGGAATCCTGTAGATTTTGTCTGCGGAGGCAGGTCTCTGCGAGGGCTAGAAGGGACAGCTAGCTAAGCTTGGACTATTTTGAGGGGAGTGGAATTGATATAGGAGAGTAACTAGGGCAGGTCTCAGGCCAGGGTGTCCTTTCAGGAGGCACGGGATTAGGTGGAGACTCCCCAGGGCTACACACATACCACAGCCTTCTGAGTGGGGCTAACTGGGTGGGGAATCTGGCAAGAAGTCCAACAAGGTATGTCCACGAAGAGTCCTAGGTCCTCTGGAGTTCTGGCTACCGGTCCAGACCCACAGAGAACCGCGAAGCTCTGTCCTGTAGGTGGACAGAGCCTACAAGCCTTACCTGCAGCAGACGCTGCCTTTGGGGTTCTTTTTGCTCTGTTCGCCAGACCTGTACTCGAGAACTTTTATACTGCCCGGGGTGGGCGGGACCTATAGTTCGAGAACCTTCATTCTGGCCACGTCGAGGTTAGAGTGCTTTCTTGGGGTGAAAATCCGGTGCGGGTGTGGATGAGCTGGAACCATTCGAGGCGAGGCTACCCCAAGAAATCTTGGGTCGGACTCAAGGGGTGGAACCCGCAAAAGGAGAACGACGACCTGCAGACACGCCCATCATGCTCGCCCGCGCCGTCGCAGAACTATGACGTCTCCGTGCGTCAGCAGTGCGCCGGCGGCCGTGGGAGCTGCACCCGGGCAGCGTGGAGGATAGGTTCAGAAGCACGCATGGGGCTGGGTCCGCGTTCTGCTCACAAGGCGCGGCGCCAGTTCCAGGGTGCCTGCCGACGGGGACGTGCGGCCCGGGGTTCGGGGCGTCCCCCTCCGGGCCGCGATGGGTGTCCCCGGCCGCCAGTGGCGGCTGCGCGTGCGGAGCAGGCCCCAGAAACTCTCCCGCACCTGAGCCCGGAGGCGCTCGGGTATTTCCGACGGGCGCTGTCAGCGCTGAAAGTGGCTCCCGATGCCCCGGAAGAACGAGGTAGGAGCAGCTAAGCCGTGGATTAACTGTAAAACCCACCCAGGGAACTTTCAGAGGGATCCCCGGGGGGCGGGGGTTCTTGGCTATGTGACGAGTAAGTTTTATTCTCCTCCCAGTCTCTCTAACTGTCTGTTTCCTCGTGTTTTCAGACTTGATGGTGCGCAATATTTTGAAGGAAGTGGAGGATCAGGCTCTAGCCTTGGCCACGAACAGGACTGGTAGTGAAATGCTGCAGGAACTTTTGGGGTTCAGTCCTTTGAAACCTCTGTGTCGAGTGTGGGCTGCTCTGCGCCCCAACCTGCGCTTTGTGGCCTGTCATCGGTGTGGGGTTCACGTTTTGCAAAGTGCTTTGCTGCAGCTGCCTCGATTGCTGAGGAACCCTGCAGAAGCAGAAGAGGAGGAGGAGGTGGATGAGGATGGGAAGCATGGTCCCTTGCAGACGACTCTGGAGGAGCTAGTCCTGGGGCTAGCCGCTGAGGTGTCTGATGACTTTCTTTTCTTCTGTGGAGATACACATGGCAGCTTCGTGGTCAGAACTCTGCTGCAAGTGTTAGGAGGTACTCTTCTGGAGCCTGAGAGAGCCAGGTCCCGTGTTTCCCAGTCGTCTGGTAAGTTTTCTAGGCAAGGGAAGTGAGCCTGGTGAGCAGGACAGTTTCGGAAGCTCAGAAGCCAGTAAACAGAAGAGTTAACCGTCCTGGTGGAACTTGACCGGGAAGAATTAGCAGAACAGTGGGACAGAACCTAGAGGATCAAAGAATACTGTGTTTAGATACCTAGAAGAAAGGGTGTGCATATATTTAGGGAACTGCTACTTACATGGGGGTGGGGGAGATGATTCATTTAAAGCAGTGGATTTCAAATTTTTATTTACACAATTCACGGTAAGAAATTCATTTAAATACTTTTAAAAAAATATGTGTATATATGGGCATGTGTACTCACTTAAATGTATGTGCCTTTTGCAGTGTTTGTGTGGGAGAGAGAAGACAGCTTGTGGAAGTCAGTTCTCCTTCCATCGTTCTGTAAATGAACTCAGGTTGTCAGAGTTAGTAGCAATCTCCCTTATCACAACCTTACTGGCCTTGGTATTTTACTTTGAGACAGATCTCCCATATAACCTAGGCTGGTTTTTGACTTGTGGTGTAGCAGAGGCTGGCCTTCAACTATTGATCCTCCTGCTCGCTTCTGCCTTTCAAGTGCTGGGATTACAAATGAGGTCTGGTTTTGGAAAACTTTAAATATCTGACTGAGAAATATGAACCCTGGACCATAGGGAAGAGAGTTGAAGATCCTTAGAAAAATTGAAACGGTGTTTTACTCATCCACAAGAAACACTGAGTTGTATTACATCTATCCTTCGTCTCCAAGCTGAGCCCTTACTCTTCTATGGAATTCTTCCTATTTGTCTGTTTTTAATGTATTGTTCATGTTCTTAATCTTTAGAAACACAAAGGACCTCAGCTCGGGAATGTAAGCCCACTGATTTTGAGGTTCCTAAAACCTTCTTGAATAGCCTCCAGAACCTGAGTACCTGCTTTCTGAAGGACATTGCAGGTAAAACGATGTATTAGTTACTTTACATGTTACTGAGACTAAGTTAAAGAAGAAAAAGTTTGACTCACAGCTGGAGGGTGTAGTGCGTTGTGTCAGGGGATTGTCATGGCCATAGCTATACTATGTCTACAGTCAGGAGGCAGAGCTTGTTTTTTTCCTTTTTATTCAGTCTAGGACCCCAGTCCATGGGCTAGTGCCACCCACATTTGGAGGTGGGGGTTCTCCTCACCTGAATTAACCTAACTCTAGAGACTCACAGATACCCTAGAGGTTAGTTTTCATAGTGACTCTAAAACCCATCAAGTGGACAGTCAAAGTTAACCATGACAGAAGGAAGTAGGAAAGGGACCAGGCTCTTCTGGGGATCGTCCCCAAGCAAGGCTCTTATATCAGGGCCTTCCTCTTTTACACCTGTCTGGATTAATGCCGTAAGGCATTCTCTAGACATTTTGTATACGTAGTTCTCCTTGTTACTCGAGGTTTGGGATTGTACAGGTAATTTGTGCTTGGAAGAAACTTAAATCATTTCTGCCTTTTCCTACAGTATTTATCACTGACAAGATCTCCAGCTTTTGTCTTCAAGTGGCCTTGCAGATCTTACATCACAGATTACCACAGCATTGTGCCCAACTCTGTGATGCTATAATCGATTACCTGAGTTCTCGTAATTCTTCAGCAGGTGGCAGGTATGAACAAGCTTCAGAGTAGCTGAAGCTGGGGTTGTCATGTGAACTGAATGAGATGATGCAGTTAGTGGAGCTGCATGTCTGGGTGAAGTTTAGACTCTGATCTTAAAAATGTTTATTGCTGCAGTGGTGCATGACTTTATTTCCAGCACCTGGAAGACACAATCTCACTGTGTAGTCCTGTTGGCCTTAGACTCACAAAGATCCTCCTGCCTCTGCCTTCCAGATTCTTAGTTTTATTTTAAGATTTGTATTTATGAAGTTGTGCCTACATGTGTATATGTGCACCACATGCATGCAGTGCTCTTGGAGTCCAGAAGAGGGCATCAGAGCCTCTGGAGCTGGAGTTGCAGAAGCTCCAAGTTGCCTGGTGGGTGCTAGAAACTGAAGCTTCTTGGGTTCTCTGCAAGAGCACAATGTGATCTTAATCACTGGTCCATCTCTAGGTCCAGCCTCATTTTCATCTGTGTGTGACAGGGCCTCACTCTGTAGCACCAGCTAGCTTGGAACTCATTGTATAGATCAGGCTGGTCTTGAACTTACCTGTTTCTGCTTCTTGAATGCTGAAATTAAAGATGTGTACCAACAAATCCAGTTTAAAAAAAAAAAAAACAAACAAACTTTATTTGTACTTCATTTGTATGAGTGTTTCACCTATGTGTTGTGTAGGAGCCAGTGGAGGGCAGGAGAGGGCTTCTGGACCCAGGTCCTCTGTAGGAACAGAAATATTCTTAACCAGTGAGCCATGTCTCCAGCCCAGTCTCTCTCCTTACCTCTAGCCCTCTGCTCCTGTTTCTTCGGGATCAGACAAGCTCCAGACTCTTGGAGCAGGTGCTGCTGGTGTTAGGACCGGTGAGGCTCCAGCGCCTCTTTGAGGATCACTTGCGGGGTCAGCTGCATTCCTTGGCTGCACATCCCATTGCTAACTTCCCTCTGCAGCGCTTTCTGGATGCAGTCACTTCCCCCGAGCTGGTGAGTGGGAAATGTGGCCTGGTCTCTTTCTGCTATTCTTAATCATTGGGCCTTGCTTACTACATATTTATTTGTTTTTTGGGGACAGGGTTTCTCTGTGTACCCTGGCTGTCCTAGAACTTACTCTGTAAACCAGGCTGACCTTAAACTCACAGAGATCCACCTGCCTCTGCCTCCCAATTGTTAGGATTAAAGGTGTGTGCACCACTGCCTGGCTTTTGGGCCTTATTTTATTGTGCTCTTGTCACTGTACTTCTCTGAGAGTTTACTGCCCATTGTCCATGTGAAGTTAGTTATTCCTTGGGGTTTCCAGAAATTAGGGTGTAGGTACCCTTCTAGAGATTTGCTTTAGATTCTCAGGTCTGACTGCCTTCTCTTAGTTCAAGTCTGTAGCTAAAAGTTGTGTGGCTTCTTGTCGCTAAATCCTCTGAGCACAGAAGCCATTGTTGTAGCTCCTCTTTACCTATGTTGCTTACCTGGGGGGTGGGAAATGGAGGGGGTGGGGGGTTGATTTCTGTGGTTCCTTGGGTTGATACATGGAGTAGAAGGGCAGGTTTAATTCTAAACTTGCCTTGCACTTGGTTCTCCCTGACTTCTACAGAAGGGACATTTGAAATCTTCCCCTATAGGGTAATTAATATCTCTATGATTCCTGGGTTTTAACAGCACAGTGAAAATTCTGATGTTGGCAATGGTTTTTACATCTTACCTGGCTTTTTTTTTTTAAATTGATTGAATGTCACCCATTCTTCAATCCATGTTTCCTCTCAGCTGTCCCTTGTGTTTGAGGAGCTGAGCCCTGCCCTGGAAGCTGTGCTGGCCCAGGGCCACCCAGGGGTAGTTGTCGCTCTGGTGGAGGCCTGCCGCAGGGTTGGGACTCACCAAGCCCAGGTTTTGCAGCTGTTATTGGAGGTGAGTGGGTTTTACTTGCAGCCCATTCATGCCCCTCTCTGATCTAATTCTGCTAGTTAGGACTTGTCTGATTTGGAAGTGAGAAGTTTAATGTTGAGGGAATTACAGATACAGGGACAGGTGAGTCCAGGAACAGTTCTGAAATGAAATTTACACTCCAGAACTTAGAGAACTTTGGTAGATAAATGGGGATTCAGTCCTTACATGTGCAGAGGCCGGGAGACAGAACTGGGCAAGCGAGATTCTGCTCTCACAGAGCATCCTTTCCTGTTGAGTTAGGCTTCCCTTTGCTTGAACATGTCTGTCTAGATCATTGTGTTAGGGATCTCAAGAGGCATTATGCTTTGTCTTCCTATCTAGGCGTTCCACTGTGCAGAGCCCTCATCCCGGCAAGCAGCCTGTGCGCCTCTCTTTGCCTCTTTGTTGGCTTATGAGGTATACTATGAACTAATGGAAGAGGAGGGGGCAGTGCCTGCAGAACATCAGGTAAGGTAGGGGAGGGGCCACACCGTGAATATTGGGGGCTGGGCTCCTTAGGGCTTAAGTTGATGAGATTTCTAACCTTTTTGAAGAGAAGATGGCAGGACCCTAGGGATGCCTTCATCCATCCGGTTTGGTTACGCCTCCTAATTTCTTGTTACTGCACTCCCAGGTAGAAATGGCCACAACCAAAGCTCTGAGGGAAGTGACAGTACTTGGGTCTCTACTGCTCCAGCACTTGTTGTATTTCTCCAACCCTGGACTTGTACTTCGAAGTCTGAGTGCCTTGACAGGACCACAGCTCCTGGCTCTGGCGCAGAGCCCTGCAGGCTCTCACGTATTTGATGCCATCCTGACTAGCCCCTCTGTGACGCACAAGCAGCGTCGTCGTGTGCTGAAGACACTAAAGGTTAGACTTCCGCTCTAGTTCCTCCATCACTGCTTTAGAGAGCACCAGCTTCATTCAGGACTGGACCTGAGAGCTGGAGGCAGGGTACATACATAGTTCCTGTGCTGCTTTAATGGTGCCACTCGAGTCTTCTGAAGTCATTCCTCCACTCCCAAAACACGTTTGTATACTTCCCCTGAGGGACCTTATCTTGCTTGTCTCAATGCAGGGACAGTATGTGGCTCTTGCCTGTAGTCGCCACGGCAGCCGTGTATTAGATGCCATCTGGAGCGGAGCAGCTTTGGGGGCCCGGAAGGAGATTGCTGCTGAACTGGGTCAGTACCACTGCTCCTGGGTGATGTTTCCAAACTTTGCCTTCTCCTGCACCTGGTAGACATCAAAGGATCGGTCTGCCTCTGAGTTCTCCGTGGTCTGCTCTTGCCTTCTCTCTGCGGACTCATTGTGCAGTCCTTTACCCATTTATCTGGCTATCATGCTTTAGTGGGTGAACCAACTCACAAATAACGACATGGAGACTTTTTAATTTTGAAAGCTAAGCCTTAGCTTAGGTTTGTCTTTAACTAGCTCTTATAACTTACCCTAACCCATTTTTACTAACCTATACTCTGTCCGTGTGCCACCCATCCTGCCGCCGCCCTTCCCCCTCTCCCGTCTCCTTGTATCTCTCTCCAGCCAAGATCCATCTCTTACTATTTCCCCTCTCTGCCTGGAAGTCTCGCCTATACCTCCTGCCTAGCTATTGGCTATTCAACTCATTATTAAACCAGTCTCAGCAATACATCTTCACACAGTGCACAGATACCCCACAACAGTGTTCATTATTCCTGTTTTAGATGCAGGGTTGAGGGAAAATGGAGGGGCCTTCTCCTCAAGTAGAATTTGGTTTTGAGCATGGTTGACACTAAACACAAGTAGTTCTCTTTGCAGGAGAGCAGAACCAAGAGTTGATTCAAGATGCTTTTGGCCACCATGTGGCCCGAAATGTGGCCCTGACCACCTTCTTGAAGCGACGAGAGACTTGGGAACAGCAGCAGAGTGCTGTGGCCAAGCGGAGACGGGCATTGAACTCTGTACTTGAAGACTGAGGCCTCACGGCCTGGGAGGAGGTATTGATGGGAGGATATGCTTATCCTTCCTGCTTTAAGTTGGAGTCACAAGTCTCATTGGAGCAGATGGAGTAACACACAGAAAACTGTAAACCTACTGCTTGTAAGGTTGTAACAAGAATTTCAAGAATTCACTGCAATTAAAGATGTGCCAACAAGCACCCCCCCCCCTTCAGAAGTCAAGAATTCAAGGCTAGCCTGGGCTAAGACAGCCAGTTCCTGTTCATCCCTATGTCTGTCTGTGTCCATCCATTCCCTTCACAACCCCCCTCCAGGCATATTGGTAAATATTTTTGCATTTTACTTGGGAATATTTTTATTTTTTAGGGGAAAGGTATCTCAGGGTAAAGCTAGGGACAGTTGTCATTGGTAAGTGGGATCTTTGGGATAAGAGTCAGTAAGAATGGAGATACAGCTGCAATTATGGTGGGATCAGGATGCCAGCAGACAAGGTTGTGGTTCTGCAGGGTAAGGAGAAGGCAGGATTTGTAGGTAAGATAGGCAGCATTCTTCAGGGAATGTGCAGACTGGAGAACCAAGGCAGTGTGCTGTAGGTTCTGTTACGGTGGAGTCGGGTGAGTTACCTCTGGCACACTGCAGACCCCAAATCTGATGATGTCTCTTGGAACCAGTCTCAGGGTACATGCTCAAAGCCCTTTTCATTATGAATGGAGGTGGCTCTGCTTGTGCCGCTGCCAGCGCTCAGCCCCTTCCACCACATGGCGAAGGGTAGATGAAATTCCCAGCAGCATATGACCCAGGCCTTGCAGCAGTGAGGAAGTCCAACGGAGGAGTTCCCTGAAGGGCAGGGGTGAGAGGAAACCAAAGGATTGAGGGGAAGCTGAGAGGAGGCCTAGACCGTGGGAGCTTGGGGTGGGGATGGCGTTCACACAGGAGAGCTTGTGGGGTATGTGGGTACAAGAGGCAGAACTTGAACTGTCCACCTGTAGGGTGTAGGACATGTTGATCTCTGACCTGAGTACTTTTTTGGGTCCAACTCCTTGGAAATCACAGCTCATGGAGTAGAGCCCATAGAATGTAGCTTTGACGTTCAGACTGCCGAAGAGGTCTCGAGGATTTTGCTTGTATACATCAAAGGTGATGCGGGCGATGTCCTTGCTGTGTTTTGGCTTCTCCCGTCCTAGGCCGTATGATAACATCCCACTCTGTGGGACACCCCATCAGTGAAGTGTGCCTTCTTTCATACCCTGGCATCTATTGCTAATCCTGTCAGTACTGGATCAGACCCCCTTTTGCCTCCCCAATATTGTCTAATGTTTGATGTCCTCCCAGTTCCCCCTAGTACCTCTGCCCCCAAGGTCAGTGATAGACTAGGGAAGAAGATAAGAAGAACTAGAAAGGGTTGATGACTGAAGCAGCCCACTAATGGCCTCACCCGGGGGCTCCAGCTCTGTCCCCGCTCTAGCACCATCAAGCATGTGTCATCCTCCAGCAGCTGGAAGAAGTCCTCGCTCTCCACAGCAGTCCCATCCTCTTCCAGTACCAGGGTTAGCACTCCACTCAGCAGCAGAGTCTCCAGCACCTGTTAGTGACAAGTGGCAGGGGGGAAGGGGCAGGCCCATCAGCCCTAGACTCAGCTCTGCTTCCTGATTTGCCATCTTCCCTGTGTTCTTGTTTTGTTTTTGAGGCAGGGTGTTTGTGTAGCTTAGCCTGGTCCCAAACTCAGCAATTCTGTGTTAGCTCCTGGGTCCTGGGAGATTGTAGATGTGAGCACTTCGCCTCCTCCTTCATGAACATGGCAGTTCTTGTTTGGGTTTTTTGAGCTGCTAATGGACCCTCACCAGAAGCAGACCTTTTTTTTTTTTGTTTTGCTCCTGTTTGTCTACTCTTGCTCCCCTCTAAGCTCTTCCCACTGATGTGAAATGACAGCTCCGTTCTAGTCAGGCGTATAACACACCTACAGTCTTAGCTGCTCCGGAGGCAGAAGCAGGGGGGCCTGGAGCTCAGTTTAAGACCAGACAACAGTTTTGGACCCTGACTCCAAATATGAATAAAAAACAAAGTCTAAACAGATGAAATCTATCTTACCTGTGTTGACTTATCTACACTGCCCACCTGTGTCATCCTTCCCGTTCTCTACACCTGCTTTCAGTGTTAGCACTGTTTAGCCATTCTGAGGCCAAGAAAAAAAAAGTGTTAAATTAAGTGAATGTTAAAAGAAACGTTAGGGTTGAGTTAGGTTGGGAATAATAGCTATGAGAAAATAAGAGGGCTTCAGCTGGTATGAGATTGTTAAGGTAACCAGGAAGGGCAGGGCTCTGGCTCCTGTGAAATCCTCTTGAGGAACATACACAGGCATGGTTGCCCTTTGACTCTAATGCATCTGATTGCAGCAGACTCAGTTTTTAGGACAGATTCTAAATAATCACCCTGTAGAGAAGGAGCTGGACCTGAGTGACCAAGAAAAGCTACAGCTGCATCTTAGCAGACCATTCTGATAGAACCACTGGTTAAACATCCTTGAAGCTGCACACAGGTTGTTCCCCCACATCAGGAGCTAAGGACCGAGGTTCCCACCAGCATGAGCACACTAATAAACAGTCTGAATCTAAAGACTACCTCATATCACTTACCTTGCAGATTGACATACCTTACTTTAAAAAATTGTGTTTATGTATTTTTAAAATTGTGTGTAGGGGGATGGCTATGTGCACAGAGACCAGAAGATCCTATGGCTCCTCTGGAGCTGGGGTTCTATTGCTTGTGAGCCACCAGGTGGGTGCTGGGAACTCAACCCTGGTCCTCTGCAAAAGCAGTATGTGCTCCTAACTGCTGAGCCATCTTCCCAGTTCTACAACCCCTGCCCCCACCCCCACTCCAGGCTACAGGAGAAAATCCTCTAAAAGGAAGGTCCAGTCCACTGTGATTTGGGAAAAGAAGTCACCTAACCTCAAGAGTACACCACCCAGCACAAAGCAGCCCGTAGGTTGCTCCCACCTTGGGCAGCCCACTCTAGTCTCTTGGGTATTCTGTCTAGGTTTACTAATTAGATTGGAGTTTTGCTAAATAAACACCTGCTCAAATTGTCTCTTGACTGAATTCATTCCTTCAAGATCAGAGGCAAGAGGCATCCCCTCCAATATCTGTCAAGATGTCTATAAGGACTTTCCATTTATTCTTTTCAGCAATCCTAAAAGATGGTTTATTATTCTCTTGTGTAGAGGAAGAAACTGAAGGCAAAGTGTGTGGTTTAGAAGTAAATTGCCTAGTATGTGCAAGGGTCTGGATTTGATGCCCAACACTGAAAACACTTTCCAAGTTAGGCTTTGTGGCATATCTGTAAGTGTTTAGAAGGCTGAAGCCGGAGGATTCTGAGTTCAAAGTCAGCCTGGGCTAAAAAGCCTGTTTTAAAAGAAAAACAAAAACCAGGTTTTGTTAAGTTGAATGACTTTCCGAGATTTGACAGCTAGGAAGTAGAAAAATAGGAATTTGAAACTGGCTTTTCAGTTTCAAAGGGCTGGGAGGTTAAATCAGTGGCAGAGCCCTTGCCTAGAGTTTTCATTCCTAGCACTATAAGAAAACATACAAATCACCATAAATACTTCTGAACCCATTTCTCCAGCCCCTATCTGCTGTTTCCCTGACTGCCAAAGAAAGCCCACTATCCAGAAAGTAAATAATTTACCCAATGCAACATAGGTTATTGGCCCTAGTGTTTCTTAACCACCCAAGGGGTGGCAATCATGTAACCTGCGCACTTTCTGCTCTGCGGTCCCACTATGCTTGAGTCCCTTGGCTTCCCTACCCCCAGGAACCTGACCACTTACCTTATCTAGCAGTTCCTGGCGGGTGGCAGCTGTCAGTCCCTTCCGGACTGTCCGCTTGTGATCACAAACACGGAAGGGTCGCTGAGGTGGTGGGGCTGAGTTCCAGACCCTACGGCCAAGCTCAGAGCCCATAGTGGAAACTGACCTGGTAGTTGGGAAGAAAGAAGGGACAAGGAGGGAGTTGTCAAATTTAGTGATAATGATGGGGGTGGGTGGCTAAAAGGATATAGGTTTACAGATCCAAAGGAGAGGCTATGGAGGGAGAACAAGAATAGTTTACGAGTTGGAGAAAACTGAAGAGTCAGGGAAGTGAATCTTCCAGGCGCTGATTTTTGCCTTGTCTGCCCTTATCCCTGGCATTGATGTATAAAGAATAGATTTGGAAATCACCTCAGGAGTCCATTGGGGTTCAAGGCTGAAAGGTAGTCCATGGTAAAGGGACAGAGTAGGTGAGCAGCTTCCCTGGGGCTTTGCAGCTGTGCACTTCTCTGTTGTTCTGAGGCTAAAGTGTTGTTTCTGTACAAAGCTGGGATTTTAGCTCTGATGAATCAAGCCTGGACTTTGTCCTCCTTTGCCTAGTGAGTAAGAGGGACAAAGTCTAAGAGGAGGAGGAGCCTATGTGGGGTCGTGGAAGTAGCTTGTGTGTTTCTCTTTAGAGATGTGTTGTAGGATGACATTTGATACTTGTGTCTCTCCTCCCCCTAATCCAAATACAGTTTTACTTTGTAGTCTGGATTGGCCATCTTGAACTTCAGATCTTCATATCTCAGCTCCTAAATGCTAGAACAGTTTCTGTCCTTCGGGCTCAGAGATAGGCATTCCATGTGAGTCCTGATGACTGCTGCCACTAGCTGATTCCATTCAAGCCCTACTGACTGTGCTGCCACCTACTGGAAAGTTATAAACTGCAGCTTTTGGAAAAGGCTGGAAGCCTGCAAGGTTAGGATGGGGAGACGTGGTGGGTGATTGGAAGAAACCCGGAGAAAATAAAAGGTGGGGCAGTGTGTCTGGGAATGGTGTGAGGAGAGGCTGGGGTCTGATCTGCAGAAGCAGCATCCTCAGATCCTGTCTGGGATTCTGGCCCTTTGCTTATCTCCTTGGTTGGAGAAGGACTAGCTAAGCTTTTTTTTTTTTTTTTTTTTTTTTTTTTTCTGGCTTCATTCTCCAGAAATGCCTGCTTTGGTGGCTATGAGCAGACACTGCTCTAATCTTTTTTGGCTTGCTCATTAATAAATAGTGTATTTCCACCTATGATGCCTGGATCCCTGCCACAGCTATCAGAGGAGTATCATGACTTTAGCTCTGTGTGTGTGTGTGTGTGTGTGAGAGAGAGAGAGAGAGAGAGAGAGAGAGAGAGAGAGAGAGAGAGAGAGAGAGAGAGAAGGAGGGAGGAAGACAGAGACAGACAGACAGAAGCCAGAGGACAACATTTGGTATTGCTCTTCAGCAAGTCCATCTTTCTCTCTCTCTCTCTCTCTCTCTCTCTCTTCTTCTTCTTCTTCTTCTCCTTCTCCTTCTCCTTCTTCTTCTTCTTTGAGACAGAGTTTCTCACAGGCCTGGAGGCTATCAAGTTGGTTAGGATGGCTAATCAGTAAACTCCAAAGATCTACCTGTTCCCATCTGCCAGCACTGGGACTACAGGTCATGCACCCCTTTAACATGGTTTTTGGGTACTGAACTCAGATCCTCATGTTTGTATGGCAAGGACTTTGCTGACAGAGTCTCTACCCAGCCCAGGTGCTTTAGTTGAAATGTCCCAGGTTTCATCTCTGATTGTAGTTGTAGATATAATGGACCATTGCACAGAAACTGAGGTTCACTGTTAGCCCTTAAATGGACACAGTCCCTGTTTTCCTGCCTGGGAGTCTTCTAGACTCTCCCAGTTCCCTAGATTCCTGTGTCCAGTGAAACACAAAGTGCCTGGATAGTTTTGTTATCTAGCCAGCTTCATTTCTCATGCAGGCTGGAGCTCCAGCCAGGGCCTTCTCAAGCACTATAAAGGGCATAAATAAGGGCATTAATGCCTCTAGGACAGTCCTCGAGCATTGAAACATGCCCCAGTCTTCTGCCTTGGGTACTCTGTATACCTCCAGTTCAGATGGCTACTGACAGAGTGCTATGAAATGCACTGAATGTATTGCCTCTTACTGATTTTTTTTTTCAAGACAGGGTGTCTCTGTAACAGCCCTAGCTGCCCTGGAACTAGCTCTGTAGACCAGGCTGGCCTTGAACTCACAGTGATCTGCCTGCCTCTGCCTCCTGAGTACTGGGACTAAAGGCGTGTGCCACCACCGCCCAGCTACCTCTTCCTGATCTTTTTTGTTTTAAGTGACTTATTTATTTTTACATTATAGCATTGGTGTTTTGCCTGCATGTCTGTGTGAAGGTGTCAGATCCCCTGGAATTGAAACTTTAGACAGCTGTGAGCTGCCATGTGAGTGCTGGGAATTGAACCCAGGTCCTCTGGAAGAGCCACCACTATTCTTAACTGCTGAGCCATCTCTCCAGTCCCCTCTTCCTAATCTTAACACAGCCCCTCACTCCTGTGTGCTATGACCTCCCCCCAGTAGACTTCAAGCTCCTTATACCTACTAGTATAGCCTATTCTCCGGGACTGAGCCACGTATCTTACACTGAAAAGTTGTCACTGACAACAGTAATAGCTGGAGAGTGGAGGGACTCTGACAGGCAAAATAAATAAATAAATAAATAAATAAATAAATAAATAATAAAAAAATAAAGAACAAGATTAAAGTAGAAGAAAAGGAAGCCAGGCAGGGACAGGAGGCTGAACAGCAAAGAGAGAAGAGCTAGGAAAGTGTGTTGCTTGGGTCTCCTCTGTTGACTGCAAGCCAAGGAGGATAGAGAATGTAAACATCACAGACTGTGGGCTGGAAGGGCTGGGGCCGGCCAGAGTGGGGAGTACCAGCAGCTGTTAGCAGAGGTACCAGTGCTTTCGTGGGCCTCAACCTGATCCTATACGCTGGGGAGGCTGGCCTCCACGTGCCTGGGCCTGTCTGTGATGGGAAGGAGTAGCATGAAGGAGGGCCCGGGGAAAGGTCGGGGATAAGCACCATCTTGTCCCTCTTCATTCTTGCCTCATCCTCTGCAAATGTGACAGGCAGAACTAGGTGCCTCATCCACTGTGGCTTCACCCGTCAGCCTTCTTAACTAAACCTTCCTCGACCCCCATTGCTGTTCTCTCCCAGTTGGGTAAGTGGATCTGCTCACTCTGCTTTACTTCCCTGCTAGGCAGCCACCTTTGCCCTGAGGTAAAGAATGGATTGGATAATGAGGGGGCTACTGTCTACAGCCAGGACTGGGGAACACCAGTGCTTTGGTACCAGTGGCCTCTGGAAACATGCCAAGAGCAGGGAAGGTCAGCTGACTGGGAACAGGGACCACAGGTTCTAAGGAGTTGTTTGAATTGGCTTCCTGGAGAAAAGACATAGGCAAAATGCAAAGAAGCTGGGGGGGTGGTGGTGGGCACAGTCCCTTCTCATCTAGCATTAGAGGTATTGTGGGCCTTTCCTCCAATTTTGAATACTCCACCCTGTGGATTCTTGCAGCCCCCTTCTAGGAGGATGTCGGTCTGCTACCGTCCACCTGGGAATGAGACGCTGCTGAGCTGGAAGGCCTCGCGGGCCACCGGCACCGCCTTCCTACTGCTGGCAGCACTGCTGGGACTGCCAGGCAACGGCTTCGTAGTGTGGAGCTTGGCGGGCTGGCGGCCCACGGCGGGGCGGCCGCTGGCGGCCACACTTGTGCTGCACCTGGCGCTGGCCGACGGCGCGGTGCTTCTGCTCACCCCGCTCTTTGTGGCCTTCTTGAGCGGGCAGGCGTGGCCCCTGGGCCAGGTGGGCTGCAAGGCTGTGTACTACGTGTGCGCGCTCAGCATGTATGCCAGCGTGCTGCTCACCGGACTGCTCAGCCTGCAGCGCTGCCTAGCTGTCACTCGGCCCTTTCTGGCTCCCAGACTGCGCAGCCCAGCCCTGGCCCGCCGCCTGCTGCTGGGGGTCTGGCTGGCCGCCCTGGTGCTCGCCGTCCCGGCCGCCGTCTACCGCCACCTCTGGGGCGATAGTGTGTGTCAACTGTGCCACCCATCAGCGGCGCACGCCGCTGCTCATCTGAGCCTGGAGACCCTAACTGCTTTCGTCCTGCCTTTTGGGACAGTGCTCAGCTGCTACGGCGTGACGCTGGCGCGGTTGCGGGGCGCGCGCTGGGGCTCGGGGCGACACGGCACGCGGGTGGGTCGTCTGGTGAGCGCCATCGTGCTGGCCTTCGGCTTGCTCTGGGCCCCCTATCATGCGGTCAACCTCTTGCAGGCGGTGGCTGCACTCGCTCCGCCGGAAGGGCGCCTGGCCAGGCTTGGTGGGGCTGGCCAGGCGGCGCGCGCTGGAACTACAGCCTTGGCTTTCTTCAGTTCCAGCGTCAACCCGGTCCTCTACGTCTTCACTGCGGGGGATCTGCTGCCTCGGGCGGGGCCCCGGTTCCTTACTCGGCTCTTCGAGGGCTCTGGGGAGACCCGAGGGGGCAGCCGCTCTAGGGAGGGTACCATGGAGCTCAGAACTGGACCTAGGCTGAAAGTAGTGGGGCAGGGCAGGGGCAATGGAGACCCTGGAGGCGGGGGCAGGATGGAGAAGGACTGTCAGGAATGGTAGCCAAGACCTCAAACCTCGGGGCTTTCCTACCACTTTCCATTGTTCCTTGAGCTCTAGGGTACTTGGGGACCTTCTCTGATTGCATTTTGGGTTTGTGGACAGGATTACTCTATAAACCCAGATCACTCCAAACCATGGGATTATGAGGGTAACTGTGGCCTGTGTTCAAAATTGTTGCTTGCAGTACGGCCTGGATCTATGTGCCAGAATTGCTGACATGTTGCCAGTAACTATTTTTGTGAAATACACTGGGAAGTCATTAGCTGATGGCTTAAATATTGGTTCATCATGCTTGCGCTGTACTGAAGCCGCCACCTCATTCTCAACTGGGACAGGCCAGGACGGGACAGTGTCAGCCTTAAGTGGCTTTCTGCCCTGCCTCCCGTTCCAGGTTACCTGTTTCCCCAGGCCTGTCTCTAGAACCACTGTGGAGTTTGGATGGGGGTGGATAAAATTCATTCTTACAAGCATGTAGGAGGAAGAAAGTGGCCACTAGGGGGAGTAAATCTGTGCGGTGTGAAAGTAAAGCGTGCTGCTTGTCTTCTGGTCAGCACTGAGAGACTGGGTGTGATGCAGGAGCCTAGGATTATGATATTTAACTTTTCCTCACCGGGCCTGTGAGGAAGCCCAGGAGCCAGCCAGCACTTGCTTTACAAGAGGAAGTTTGAGGATTGATGAGGAGGAGGTGTGACAAATGGCTGGAATATCTGGAAAAAAGAAAGAAATGTTCAGGAAGGTGGCACCTTCCCTTTCTCTGCCTTCTGTGTTTGTTGCTTTCCCTCATACCAAGATGTTAGCTATTCCCAATTCTTCTCCAGCCTCCACCTTTGGAATCTCCCTATTATCACATTTAGAACCTGAATGATACTTTTGATTTTGGGGACAGCAGAATGCAAGTTTTTTTCTTTAGGGGACATCATGGACACACACATGACTAGTCCATCCTAGCTGTGAAAGAACATTCTTACTAGCCCTTCACACTTCTTGTCCCTAGACCCATCAGTCCCCAGAAGACTGAGGTAGCTGACCTCCCAAGTGTTTACTCTAGGCTCCACTTCAATGTCTTTCTCAGGCAGAGGCCAACAGGAAAAAAAGGAAAGCCAGTTTCGAGGGTTATGCTAGGAGCACCGGAACTGGGGTTGAAGTGACCTCTGAACTAGGGAGGAAGTATGCTTAGAGTGCCCAGTCCCTGGAGGAAAGACCACTCCGCGAGGGAGATGGAGCAGGCTGAGGGAAAGTACAATACAATCCACTGCCTGCTTGAAGGGACTGGGGTTGACCCTGGAGCTCTGAGGCAGAAGGTTTTCTCCGTAAACACAGAATTCTTGGTTCCTGAACTTCCCCCTGTCATAAACTCTGCACCTTACACACCCGGTGTGGTCAGAAAGTTCTTCCTCAAATCTGTCTTCAGTTTGTGCTGTGGTTTTGGCCTTCTTTTCACCATATCCTCTGTTTGGCAATTACGGGGTCAATGCTGATCTGGCTTTTCTCAACGTGTAACAAGTGAGGGCATTAGAAAGCATAAGGGACCTCAATGGACACCATTATACTTTTCATCCTTCCTGACAAGTGACAGGTTGAAAGGCAAACAAAACAGCAAGGCTCGTGGCAGCCTGAAGGAATGCATTCTTGGTAGAGACTGTAGAGAGAACCGGCATCCTTTCTTTCACTGAGGAAAGTAGGAGAATGATGCTTTGGAGGCTGTTTATCTGTTCACATTCTTTTTTCATTTTTTTTTCCTGAGACAGGTTTCTCTGTGTAAGCCTTGGCTGTCCTGGAACTCTCTTTGTTGACCAGGCTGGCCTTGAACTCACAGAGATCCACCTGCCTGTCTCCCAAGTGTTGGGATCAAAAATGTGTGCCACCACCACTCCATTCTTTCCACATTTTTAGGTGCTTTTGTGGTAGGGCTGGAGTGAGAAGGTATCACTGCCTCTGCATCACCATATCTGTTTTTCCTTCTCAGCACAGCCTAGCTCAGCAAACATTTTCTCTGTTCAAGTTGAAACTAGCCAGTGCAAGGCTATAAGGATGTAGGAAATAAGTGGTACCAATTGCCTAGCACCTACTGAGAAAGTCCAACAGGGTTGCTGTTGTTCTTTTGCTGTGCAGCTAATGCCTAAGAAACACAAACACGAGACTCAGCGCCCACGTGGAGTTTATTGAGAGGAGGGAGAGAAAGAGGGGGTAGCTGGTGGCCAACCGAAAGCAGGAGAGAGAGAGAGAGAGAGAGAGAGAGCAGGGGGTGGGCAAGAGAGAAACCAGAGAGAGGAACCAGAGAGAGCCAAGCACTTGGCATGCTTGCTTTAAAAGGGGGCTTGAGCATGCTTAACTGGGTCCTCTGGCAGCCAGGTAAGGCTGATGTAGCGATGACACGGCCATGAGCATCCCGCCCATCGTCGGGGTGGGGGTCAGCTGGCTGCTAGTTCCTAACAGTTGCTACACGGTCAAGTGGATAGGGGAAGGGAAGAAATCCATTATTTTGTGTTACAAAGGAGATCACTTAGACTTTGACTTCTTTTAAAAAGAATGAAGAGTTAGCTAACCCGTAATGGAAGGTTCTGGAAATGGCTTTTTCCCTGTATCCACACCAAGATCATGGTCTGACCTGAAGTCAAGAATAGGTTGCTTCCCCTCATTCATTTCTCGCACACTCTCACTGATATTCCCCCACCCTTGGTCTGTGTTCATCTGTCTCTCTCAATCTCATACAGCCTAGGATGGTCTTGACCCCAATATGATGTTTCTATATCATGATGCCATCTAGCCCACAACAATGCATAGACCATGAACCTATGTTTCCCGTTAATCTAAAGACTATGCCATGTGTACATTTTAAACACGAAGTACAAAGATAATATTTTTTAAACCAGCAGTCTCATTCTGAGCCTTGCTTCCTTCTCCTATGATATAATCCATAACTTTGTTCACCTCTCCAGTCTAGACATGCATTTTTAGACCACACCCCAGCCAACTCACTCCTGGTACCCCTCTCTCTTAGCTCACTGCCTTTTCCTGGGTACTTCTCATTTAGCCCCACCCCAGGAGTCTTCCTCCCTCTGGGCTGCTCTGGAACACAAAGATTGTCCCTCCCTAAGAGTGAAGGCGGGTGTGGTTTTTTTTTTTTTTTTTGTTCAGCCTCACCCTCAGGAAGATGCATCTTCCCCCTCTTCTACTCTGTGGTACTTCCTCTCTGGCTGATTTAGTCGACAGACTTAGAAGTGGGACCAAGACCCTAGCACTAGGACAGATTCAGGAATTGTCTGTCCCATGACTCTGCCCTGACCCTAGACGTGGCATTGGTTTCTGATCAGCATCTGGAAAACCTTGTAAGTATCCTAGGAATTGGATGGTGTGTGAGTGTGTCAGAGTGTTGAGTGTGTGTGAGATAGTGTGTGTATGAGTGTGTGTGTGTGTGACAGGTGTAGCTTGGAGAGATGGTGAGAAAAAAAATCTGTAGAGACAGCCTGACCTTCGTGAAAGGACTGTTCTCAGGGTCTGTCCATCCCTCTTCCCTGCTCCAGCTCTAGAGAGAGTGAGAAAGTGACCGGAGAATGTTGGGCGCTAAGTGGATAGAGGCCTCTCAGTAGACAGAACTAGCTTTTCATGGGATGCAGCTGTGGAGAAGAAAGTCTTCCAGTCAGTCTGGTGCTGGGTTTCAGGGTCTCGAAAGGGAAAAAGGTGAACCGCTGCTGTTGATGTATATTTTGCAACTGAGTCTATGGCAAAGAAGAGGCCCCATAGTCCAGCTAGGAAATGAGTCTATTCAACCAGGTCCCTTGAAGACAAAGAGGTTGACAGTGCTGGCATGGTATATATTTGGAGGTGCCTCCGAAACTTCTGATTTTGGAAATCAGAGTATTCATGCTGGTGTGACAGGGTGTCAGGAATCCTTTGGTTTCTCCTCATTGGTGTGCCCACTTTCCACTCTCTAGGTCCCTCTGATGGCTTCAAACACTACATCTCCTGCAGCATCTTCCTCTCCTGGTGGCATGTCTCTGTCTCTGCCTATTGCCCTACTGTCTGTGGCGCTGGCTGTGGGGCTGCCTGGAAACAGCTTTGTGGTGTGGAGCATCCTGAAAAGGATGCAGAAATGCACTGTCACTGCCCTACTGGTGCTGAACTTGGCTCTGGCCGACTTGGCTGTGTTGCTCACTGCTCCCTTTTTTCTACACTTCCTGGCTCAAGGCACGTGGAGTTTTAAAGTGACCGGTTGCCGCCTGTGCCACTATGTTTGTGGAGTAAGCATGTACGCTAGTGTCCTGCTTATCACCATCATGAGTCTGGACCGCTCATTGGCAGTGGCCCGCCCCTTTGTGTCCCAGAAGGTGCGTACTAAGACAGTTGCCCGGTGGGTGTTGGCAAGCATCTGGGTGGTGTCTTTTCTGCTGGCCACACCAGTCATTGTGTACCGTACAGTAAAATGGAACAACAGGACTCTGAGTCTGGTCTGCCAGCCGGATTATCCCAGCGACGGGCATAGAGCCTTTCACCTGCTCTTTGAAACCATCACGGGCTTCCTGCTGCCCTTCTTGGCGGTGGTGGCCAGCTACTCTGACATCGGACGCAGGCTGCAGGCTCGGCGCTTCCGCCGCAGTCGCCGCACCGGCCGCCTGGTGGTGCTCATCATCCTGGCCTTCGCCGCCTTCTGGCTGCCTTACCACCTGGTGAACCTGGTGGAAGCAGGCCGCGCACTGACGGGCTGGGACGTGGACGACTCTGCGGGAAATCGTCTGACGCAGGCCCGCTACGTGCTCATCGCGCTGGCCTTCCTGAGCAGCAGCGTGAACCCGGTGCTGTACGCGTGCGCGGGCGGCGGCTTGCTGCGCTCAGCAGGCGTGGGCTTCATAGTCAAGCTGCTGGAGGCCACTGGCTCCGAAGTGTCCAGCCTGCGCCGCGGGGCCACCCTGGGCCAGACCCAGAAGTCCACACCCGTCTGTCCTGAGCCAGGCCCCACCGACAGCTTCATAACCTCCTCCAACCCCTCCTGAGTGAAGAGAACTGAAGTAGGCTGAGTTTCGGAAAGGCATTCATAACTCTGGCCTGACCTACTCCTGTATCTGGAAGAGAACAGGCTGGGGATTGGGCTCAAGCGGAAAAGAGGGAGGGGTGGGGCGAGTCAGGGCAAAGAGACAACATGCTCTGGCCTGGCTTCTGCAGGCAGTTTTAGGATTAAAACTAAAGTCTCCCAGACCCTACTCCAAATAACTTGACAGGTTTTGATGATCCCTCCTGGAAAGTATCACCTCCCTGTGGAGTGTGTGTGTGTGGGGGGGGGGGATGGGAGGAGGGGGAGGTCGGAGGACATGGTGGGGAGGGAGGGAGAGGGAACTGGGCTTGATATGTAAAATAAGGAAAAATAATAAACTATATTTAAAAAAAACCTAAAGTCTCAAATCAGGTTAAGCCTGTGATTGAGGTGCAGACTGAGGGGCACTGGGAAGTGTTTATTGGTCCTAGAGAGGTACCACTCTGGTGGGATCCCTCTCAACAGTTCTTTAGTTCCCTGTGGTTTACAGGTTTGGAAGGATCACATGGGCAGATATAGTCCTACACTCCTAATTCTGGCCTTATTGTTTCAGAATCATGACTCAGGGGACCTTCTGAGAAAATCAGTTCTTGTGAAGTGTCTTCCCAGAAGTCCGTGGTAAATGTCCTTGATGGCATAAACCTAACATCCTCTCAAGAGAGTCCTGGGGATGGTTTTCCTTCTCTCCATCTCCCAGGGAAGTCTCACTGGGGACTCTGGCATCAGATCCCATCTTCAGAATTCTGTGCATCAGTACCTTCCATTCCCCAGAAGCCACCTTCCCCGGGGCCCCCACACTACACAAGATGTCCCAGAGTGAGAGGCCTAGAAACACAGCTCTGGAAGAAACTGCCATTGAGGAGCAAGGAGGTGATTTCCAGCTACACCAGCAGCTTCTGATCCATGGGCTGATTCAGATGCCCCGTAGACATTTTATTGAAGATCTCAGAGGAGGGGTTGTTGAGGTGCCTAGGGGGCTGAGGGAGATCCAGTTCTTGTCAGGTCTGTGTTCAGGAAGTAGGTACAAAGTTGCCCTTTGCCTTTGACCTTGATGACACCCCGGCTGTAGCATGTATAACCCAGGGATTGCAGGGCTCTAGCTGTCTCCTCAGTCACCTGCAATTGGAGTAGGGGGTAAGGGAATGTAGGGCAGCCTTATCCGTGTTTCCTCCCCAATGCCTCCAACATAGCTCTCTCACTTGGATCTTGCCAAGAACCCCTGTACTCTCCATGCGGCTGGCCACATTCACTGTGTTCCCCCAGATGTCATATTGTGGCTTTTGTGCCCCAATCACTCCTGCTACGACTGGTCCGTGGTTCAACCCTGGAAAGAAATGTGGTAATGAGGGACTTTGATGGGGGCAGGCTTTGAAGAAGGAGATTAAGGGAGATGGAAGGCCAGGTGTTTTTTTTGTTTTTGTTTTGTTTGTTGTTGTTGGTTTTTTTTTTTAATTTTTAATTTTTTTTTTGAAATAAGGTTTCTCTGTGTCCTGCCTGTCCTGGAACTTATTCTGTAGTCCAGGCTGGCCTTGAACTCACAGACATCCACTGGTCTCTGCCTCCTGAGTGCTGGGATTAAAGGTTCATGCCACCACCACCACCACCACCACCCAGCCTGGTCAGGTGGTTTTATAAGACACTCTTCAGGGTTGGAGAACTAGGAAAGGCAAGGGTGAATCTCGTAGCTCTTAGACTAGCAGCTTTATGCTTCAGCCAAGAGTGTAAATCTATGGGGGGGCGGGCGGGCAGGGATGAGCTGGAGAGCAGCTAATGAAGGTCTTAGAGAGGGCAGAGGAGGTACCACATTGTCCCAACAAAGGAGGCCCCTCACCCACACGCAGGCGGAAGTTGTTGAATGAGTGCTTGTTGATGATATCCAGCTTAGACCCCAGGGCCACTGCAAATTCTACCATGGTGCCCAGATGGCTGCAGCTTCGATCAGCATCCTAGTCCACATACCACGATGGGCACAGAAATGAGTCGAGCTCATGAAGAAGCCCACCAATGGAAGCCCCTAGGAGAGGTGACAGGAAAGGGTCGCTGTACCTGCTGCGTGTCCTGTCCTGAGGTGGCATTCAAGCCCGTGGCTGCCATGTAGGTGCTGCCAATAGTTTTGATCTTCTCTACTCCACTGAACTTTGGCTTGGAGAGCAGCTGTAGAGAGAGGAGGCTATGTTTCCTTTCTCTACTGCTTTCACCTTCTCCAAAAAGCCTGCCCTGGCCTTTGGAGGCTAAAGGACCAGGCTGGAGGTGGTGGTGAGAAGGAGATAGTTGGTGATGTGCAACCAAGGGATAGAGCTCAGGAGACAGGGAGGGCTGGAGATGATGGGGAGTAGGTGTGGCCGAATGGTCAGGAGAGCAAAGTGGAAGGAAAAGGTGATGGGAGAACCCAGGGTTCAGGACACAGGGCTTGGAGTTGCAACCTCATCAAAATCAGCAATTATCTCATTGAGCAGCCGCAGACACTCCAGTCCTTCATGGTTGATGTTAGATTCAGAGTAGAACTCTTTAAAGTCTGGGACAGATGCAAAGAGGACACAAACACATTCGTAGGACTGGTGGTAGAGGTCCTGTGAACAGGAGGAGGGGTGATGCTTAGCTACTGGGCCAGCAGCTTCATGCCTCACTCAAGGGAGTAAGTTTGAAGAGGCATGAGCCAGGGAATAGCTCCTGCATGACTCAGGGTATGAAGAGGAGGTAGCAAAATGACCCGATTTACTTTTGGAATTAATTTTTCTGAATTAAGTTTATTGACGTGTGTGTGTGTGTGTGTGTGTGTGTGTGTGTGTGTGTGTGTGTACACATGTCACAGCATGTGTGTGGAGCTCAGCGGACAACTTTCAGGAGTTAGTACTCTCCTTCCACTTTTATGTGTGTTCCAGATTGTGAGTCATTCTTTACCCCTGAGCCCCAGATAACTGAATTTTCATTTTAATTAATTAAAATTTGTTTGACTGGATACATATAGCTAAGAGCTACCATATTGAATATTGTAGACCTAGAGGGATGGGTGACGCTCTTCAGACAATTCCCATTGCATTTTGACTAGGGCTTCTGAAAGGTGTGATGCGGCCATGACTTGCAAAGATGCTCCCCCCACTTCTCCTGGCCATGGGCCTCCTCCATAGTAGGCAAGATTTACCACTGGGATATTAGTTCAGAAGATGTTCCTTCTAAACAAAAGCTTAAAGCATAGATTTTTGTGGCCACCAAGGACTACCTAACCTATTGTTTGGGGATCCCAGAAAGGATGGGGTATGCCCAACCTCAATCCCAGTGGCATCTGCGCCTCTGGAACGTGGGGTTGGGAGTTACCTCATTGCGTCGGTTCTGGCCGATGAACTGGGGGGCCACATGTGCGGGGAGCACATTTTCCAGGAGGAGCCGAGTTAGATTCTCCATTGTCTCAGTCTCCTCTCGCTCCTGCCTCAGCTTCTTCTTCCACAGGAAGTCCAGGCGGCAGTAATACTCATTCTAGGGTGATAGAACAATGTCCCCAATACACCCATCCAGCTTAGAAATAAGATTTAAGGTACAACTGTCCTGGAGAGAGATGGCTTTTAAGATCTGTTTCAAATTAGGTTCTGTGGATGGAGCAGCACACATTTTTCATAATTATGGTTTTTCTTAGATATGGGAGAGAGGAGTGATGGTGAGAACCTGAGGGATTTGGAGACTGAAGAAGTAAGAAATAGAGTTGGAACACTCTCTTGAAAGTTTCCAATGGGCCCATTACTTGGACTCAGCCCTGGACAGACAAGTTACCAATATGGGGACCCAGCCTCAGCCATTCCCAGGGGGGCCCTGGAGAACCTAGCTGAGAGAGGCACCTGCCGAGCCAGGACAAGGAGCGTGAAGAAGAAGATGAAGAAGTAGATGGCTCCCATCAGTTTGGGTTCCTTCAGCACCCCTGGCCTGAGAGATCAAAATCAAGATTGTTCTTTGCTCTGCCCCCTCCTGATCCCATCCTGCCTGCTCCCAGTGCCCAAGGAGCCCCCAAGACCCACTCCCATTGCCTTGGGGGGTGGTTGAGTCTGTAAGGCAAAGACACTCTGCTGAGTCCTGTCTTAGTCACAACCCCGAGGGCTTGAGCAGGTGTGTCCTGTGATTGTACTTACCTGGAGTCCAAAGGGCTTCCATAGAGGTGGGCAATGAGGCAGTCAGATAGCCAGGCGTGGGAGTGCAGAAAAAAGGAACAAGATGCCACCAGCCACAGCAGGAGCAGCAGTAGTTTCAGTTCAAAGCTCATGTGCAGAAAAACGGAACAGGAGAGGAAACCCAGCACGCAGCAATGCATGGAGTACTGTTGGGGCGGGCAAAGTGGTCAGAAGTATCCCCTAGACAGTAGTACTGGGACAATGCCTACAGTTTCTTGTTCCTCCAGGGCAGTGGGCATATCGTGATGACATTCATGAAAACAGACACTAGATATGACTAATGTCTTGGGTGGAGTGTTCTTTAGCTTAGGAGTTGGCGGATTGATGAGAAAGAGTATGGGAAAGGAGACCTAGGGCTGTACAGAAACACTCACTGGGATACTGATGAGAGGCAGGGATCCTGGCAGCTCCCAGGAAGTGTTGAAAGCTGCAGAAGATGCATTGGAAGCCAGGAAAAGGCAGTCTGATGACACTGGCAAGAAGAGCTACAGAAGGAGATGGACTGAGGGTAGGTAAACTTGGGTCCAAGGGGTTGCACCTGAGCTAGGGATGGGTTAAAGCCAGACCCCTATAAAGGACATATTCTGCTACTTCTGATTAGTGAGAGGGCTTCAGATGGGACCTTACTGGCATGAGAAATGCCATGAATACTAGTATGCCATCAAACCAGTATCAGCTCTTGCCAACTGCTTAGCCTCTCTAAGCCACCTCCCTACCTCCCTTCTCTTCCTCTCTCTCTCCCTCCCTCCCTGCCTCCCTCTCTCATTTGGTTGGGGGATGATCCCTATTGAATTCTAGGAACAATTATAATTTCTGTAAATTGCAGCCAAGTAAGCTAAGAATGACGTATGCCTATAAAGAAAAACTATAGGAAGGGCATTCAGCAAAGTGTTAACAATGATTATGCTTGGAGAGTAGGACACACACACACCATGCCTCCCAGCATCCTTCGGTCTGTCCTCAGCGGTTACTCTAGATCCAGGGATTCCCTTTCAACCTGACAGGTCCAGTATGCCCTGATGATGGTAGACAGAACTCCCGCCCCTTGTCCTCACCAGGCTGGCGATGGCCATAGTGAA